ATTTTGTAAAAACATTACAAGGTTCCTGTTCCTTTTGGATTGTGTTTCATTTGTTGGAAAAGGGCGTGGGTCAGAACAATCACATGATCAGTGGCGGAAGGCTGCAACGGTCGTAAATACGAGGAGAAGTTACGTAAGCTGTAACTTTTCACTCCTGTCAACGGGCGTCCCTTGGTGTTGAAGGGGCTGGCATAATACCCTCATTCTTACCTGCCAAGATGCTGGCGATCAAGTCATCCCTCTGCCCTAAAAGAGGAGGAAAAATGGACTTTTAAAGCCTTTTAAAATCTGATCTCAAAATTCGGGGTTGGGCAAAAAACGGGGAGGAAGGGGCACTCTTCAAAAAAAAAAAAAAGACCCAAATGGTGGGCGGAAAAGACCCAAACCCTCCCAATTCCAGCAGCCAACCGGAATTTTATGGGGCAAGGAAATGTCTCGACTTGGGTTTCTTTTGTTCCGGTCCGTACCTTGACTGGGGGCGATGCTGGGGGTCCGAGTTGGTGGTAACACATCTGGGAGGGGTTTCTGGACCTCCCGGGACGGCCCCATAGTGTGGCAAGAGGGGCTCCTCAACAGAGATTCCTTCGGCTTCTCCACGTTCTCCTGCCCAACGGGGGTGGGTGGGTGGGGATACAGGGAAGTGAAGTTGGGGTGTGTGTGTGTGTGTCTCTCGCAGACTCCCCTCCCTCCCCGGGACGCCAAGCAGCTCTGCAACGCCTGCCGGGACCGTCCCGTCCAAAAAAAATCCCCCTGTTCGACGTAGTGCGAGGATCTCCCGCGGATTTCCACCCTCCCAAACCTGTCCGTCTCGTCCCACGTCCCGTCTAGGAATCCTCACCTCGCTCTCTCCCATGAGGGTGGCCAGCTGCTTGGCTCGCTGGTCCATTAAGCTGACGTGCTTAATTGGGTTAATTAAAGCCTCGGCGTAATCTGAGGAGGGAAGAAAGAGAGCCCTTAAGACCCACCGGATTCCTTAATAAAAAAAAACAGGGATTGGGATTAGACAAGGATTAGACAAGGATTACAAAAATATTAGACAAGGATTAGACAAGGATTAGAAAAAGATTAGACAAGGATTAGAAAAAGATTAGACAAGGATTAGACAAGGATTAGACAAGGATTAGAAAAAGATTAGACAAGGATTAGAAAAAGATTAGATAAGGATTAAAAAAAGATTAGACAAGAATTAGACAAGGATTAGACAAGGATTAGAAAAAGATTAGACAAGGATTAGAAAAAGATTAGATAAGGATTAGAAAAAGATTA